CAGGCACCCCTGGCACTAATGGAAATCTCCACGGAAGACTGCTTCGAAGGAAAAAAAAATCTCCAGGACCTCAGTACTTCAAAACATCCCTGCCTGGTGATGCAAGGCTTCCGGTCGCCACACTTGCCGAGGGAGGAAGGGCAGTGGGGAGGTCCTCAGTTGGATCAGCACCCCTCGTTTCCCATTTTCAGTGAGTCAGGCCTCTGGCCTACTTCGAATTTCCGGCTAGGCTGTCCACTTTGACTTGTCCCTGCCACACCAACCTTCACAAACTGTCCCATGGCCACACAGATGACCCCAGTGCCACATCAGTCACAAGGGAGCCACCCTCTTCCAGTTTAGGAATTCCGAAGAGAAACCCTTCTGCACCCTGCTCCTGCTCACAGACCTGCCTAAATGTCTCTCATCCCACGTGCCCATTTTCTGGGTTTGCCCAGTGGGTTTCCTCCTACCTGGCTCTTCACCTAAACTCCCAGAGCAAGATCTCCTCTGGCTCCCAGTGGTCCTCTCTGCTGCCCCGTCCCCCTCTCCTCACCCAGCAGCACCTGCGGCTCCAGCTTCCTGCCTCTTGTCCGGTGGCTCAAGGCCCTGCTAAAGTCAGGTGGCCTCTCTACCACTTCTGGCACTGTGGACTAGAGGTGGCATCCATCCCAAGCCAAACCCTCATACAGACCCAGAGGGCTTCTGCAGCACCCCAAGGCCCCCTAAGGCTAGAATCAGGGAAAGGGAAGCTAGACAGAGCAAACAAAGAAGGCTTGGAAAGAGAAAAGGAAAAACATCCTCGTAAATGTTCACAGAAGGACATTGTCCCGAGAGGGAGGGAGGGAGGCGCTGTGGTGGGGGTGGGAAGGGTGACTCACCAAAGTCACTCTTTCAGGGGCCTGGAGAAACAGAGAGGCCTCGACCCCAGGAGGGTACCTGTGGCTCCCCTTCCGTGACAGCCCAGTCACACTCCCAAGTCACTTTTCTCATGCCAAGAGAATTTACCAAGTTTGGTAAGGGAGGGCGGGTGTGGTGGTACACCCATTTAATCCCAATGTGCAGGAGGCAGAGGCAGGTGGGTCTCTGCGAGTTTGAGGCCATCGAGGGTTACATAGCAAGACTCTGACTCAAAAATAAAACAAACAAAAAGAACTAAGAGAGCTAGCTCAGCCAGCAGGGAGGATAACCTGAGCCAGAGCTCAGACCCAGCCTCCCAGTGGCCAGCCGTTCTGCCTCATGCAGACTCCAAGGGCAGCTGCTGTACCTCAGTGTCCCCCAAGGGCTACAATCGGGGAAATCAAATGCCTTTGAGGCCCATAGTGTCAGACTTTCAGCTCTTCCAGCCAGGGGCAACCAGTTCCCACCCCCGACCCCACCCCGCCCCACCCCCAGCTGAGGGAAAAGTCAGAGGCTGCTCCTGGAACATTCCCGAGGCTCTCAATAAGCCAGCCCTTTCTTGCCTTCCCAAAGGAACATGCTCTGAGAGGGCAGGTGGGAGCGCACCCATTGAGGGGCAGCCAGTCCAAGCTGAGACGCCTCTAGGGGTGTGGAAGTAACCAAACTAGACCCTAAGAGCTAGGAATGTGCGGCTCAGAGCAAAGTGCATGCCTAGAATGTGCAACAAGGCCTGTGTCCAACCTCATCACTACGAAAGAGGGCGCGCGGGCAGGGGGGTGTCTTAAAAAAAAAAAAAAAAAAAGCAATTAGTCACTGTGGACTCAGAAGCCCTACCTAGGTGCCCACGCTTAGCAGTAGTCACCATCCCATACTCAATGAACATACATACACGCAAATGCTCAGCATCACACCATCTCATTTCTAGCCCCCAAAAAACCCCTCAACAGGGCAGGCCCTGGGACCCAACCAGAGTAGAGCTTCAGGACAGAAACTATGTCCCCAGGTCCTTTGCAAAAGTCCCTACAAGCTGTTGGTCCCTGCCTAGGGTTGAAAGACAGCAACTCCACCCCACCCGAGGTCTCAGGTAGCCAGGCTTATCAGGTCCCTGGATAAGTTGTCGGATGTGGTTTCTTTACGGTCACAGCTCTCCGGGCTCTTCCCCGCGCCTCCCTCCCTCGCCCTCCCCCAAGTCCCCAAGTTTCCTCCCCCGGATGCTACCAGGGCAGGAGTGGTCACCAGGACCGTACGAAGCCCGTACTCTAGCCGGGTCTAGACTCGTAAGGAATTAGAGAGGGCTTCGAGGCTGCCCTCCGAGTTAGGCGGGGAGATCGGACCCGGCAGCCAAACTCCAAGCCAGCGGAGGAACAGGGAGGGACTTGTACTGGCCACGCAGCCAGGGAAGGCTGTCAGGAAGTCCCAGCGGCGCGGGGTTTGATTGGCACCCTCTAGCCACCTGCCCGGCTACTGTCACCCCGCCAGCCGCCAGAGAAGGCGACCCGAGGCGTACTGCCGGGTGTGGACCCCGGCCGGCGCGTCCTGGGAGCGGCGGGTCGCGACCTCCCCCTGCTGGGGTCCCCTTCCCACTTTACCTGCGGCGGCGGCGGCGGCGCGCGCCGAGGGGAGTGGTCTGGCGGTACCTGGCGGGGCGGGGCAGCGTTCCCACCACTTAAAAGTTACAAAGTGAAACTCCGGCGCCTCTTGCACATGCGCAGAGCTGCGTCCACGCCTTACCTAATTTGGACTCTTTCGCCCGCGCCGGCGCCAGCTGGACCGCCAAGACCGTGCGCCAGGCAGTGAGCCCGTCTGTGGCTCCCTAGCCCTGGTCTACGCGTGACCGTCCTCGCCGAGGTCTGCGGGCGGGATCAGACCGGCTAACGCCCACAAGGCCGGGAGAGGACGTCTCCAGACTGCTTTCCTTTGTGCCCCAGCACATCCCCCACGGAGAGGACACTGGGCCAAGCCTAGGATGGTCGCGGCGCGGGAGAGTATCTGCAAACGTTCGAGATCGGCTCTGTGTGGGGTTGAATGTCCCCAGGAACTTCATAAGCTGGCCCAGCCGGGGCGCAGTGCGGGAGAGCATCGGGGCACTGTAGACCTACCCTGCCCCCAGCCATCTGTAGCCACGGAGAGGCCCGCCGCGGTAAGGAGCCGGGACCTTGAAAGTTCCAGAGCTCTGTCCTGCCCTAAATAAAATACAGCATTTCTAGCATTTCCTGGGACCACACCTTATTGCTCCGGCCCAGGCCACCAACGTTGCCAACTGGAGCCAAACACGCTGAGCATCCGGTGTGTTCTGGCTGGGACTTGGAGGTTTCCAGCGAACCAGCAGGCTCTGCACCTACCTGCTTTGCCCCCTCACCCGGGGCAGGACCGTCCATGGATGTGCTAGGGGAATGGACCTGTGGCAGGACCACTGCTGCAAACTACCCCCTTGCAGGCCTCAGTTTCCACAAGGAAAAGTGTGGGACCAAAGCTGGCTGTGGAGTCCTTGCCAGCACCAGCCAGCTTCATGCCTGAGCAGCTCCTCGTTCCCCAGGGCACAGCTTTGCCTCTTCTCTGACCTCACTTCCATGTCTGAGCTTTCATCTTCTACTGTAAAGATAAAAATATCCTCGCCACCTCCCTATCCCCGATTCTAGCCAGTGGCTATCTGAAACAGGGCGTCTTTCCTCCCTCAGACTTCCATCGTCTCTCCCTTCAGCGCCGAGCTAACAGTTATTTCCCAGAACTCTGTTGTGTCCGGTCTTCCCCCAGCTCTGCCTGGCCATGCCCCTGCTCTGCTGCCACCTGGCTTCTCTAGATCGCTGCTCATTCCCCTGGCTCCTCAGATGGATTCTGTCTGTCCTTCTCCCTGCTCCCGCTCCACACATCTTTAGCCCTCGGTTCCTGCCTTTGTTGATGATGCCAACACCTGTCTGGCCTGTGTCCTGGGGTCTAGCCCTAGTCCTATGAGGATGGACGGTGGCACCACTACCAAAGAAGAGAACAGGTTAGGGCGCTTGATAACGGAAGGCAAGGCTTTCCTACGGCTGCTCTTCAGTAGGTGACAGCTGTCTTAACGTCCAGAGAAGGCTGTGATGCGATGGATCAGAGTGTGAGCTGACATAAAGAAAGCAGGAAACTGGAGGCGAGAGGTGTAGCTCAAGCTAGCAGAGTGCTGGGGTAGTGTGCATGAAGCCTGCTTTGGATGCCTAGCACCATATAACCAGCCATGGTGGTGCGAGCCTGTAACCACAACACTGTTCAAGGTCTAGGCCAAGAGGATGGCTCTGGGGGTCAAAGTCTCTGCCATGAAATCCTGACTAGCGGAGTCTGAACCCCCAGAACCCACTGTTGAAGGAACCACCTCCCAAAAGATGCCCTCTGACTTCCACAGCACATGCTGGCTCTCTCTCTCTCTCTCTCTCTCTCTCTCTCTCTCTCTCTCTCTCTC